ATTTCATAAATACAACTTTAGGAACATAATGATTCTTCCCACTGTACCCACCCTCCCACGCTTTCTTCCTCCCTCTCCTCTTCCCGAGAATGTACAATTTTATCTGAATGCGTCTGTAGGCACCTCAACAATAAGGAGTGCTTCTCTCCCTTTTTTAAACGTATTTATTTATTTACTTACTTACTTATTTTAAAGGCAGATTAACAGAGAGGCAAAGGGAGGGAGGAGGGGGGCGTGAGAGAGAGTCTTTATCTTCTGGTTCACTCCCTAAATGGCCTCAACAGCCAGAGCTGCACCAATCTGAAGCTTGGAGCTTAGAGCTTCTTTCAAGTCTCCCACGTGGGTTCAGGGACCCAAGAATCTCGGCCATCCTCTGTTGCTTTCCCGGGCCATAACAGAGAGCTGGATCAGAAGAGGAGCAGCCGGACCCGAACCGGCACACATGTGGGATGCTGGCACTGAGGCAGCAGCTTTACCTGCTACACCACGGTGCCAGCCCCAGGACTTCTTCTCTTTCACAGGTCTAATGTAAAATCTCAGTATCACACCTCAAAACTAATTTCTAACCCATTATTCAAAACCTAATTGTATCACAGATCCCATAAATGTTCTTCTTTATTTTCTGTAGTTTAATTGACTCAGTGTATACAGAAAAATGCATAAATGATTGATTGATAAATCTTTATCTTTTCAGTGGGGTAGGTTTCTCTTCCTATAATTTTTCTCCTTCTATATGTTTGCACAAGAGGTGAGATCCGTTTGTCCTCTAGAGTTTCCCACAGGCTGATGCTGCTGTCTGCATCCTCTGTCTTACCTTCTACAGGTGACTGGTTCCCGGTGTACATCTTCAGATTCAAGTTCAATTTCTAAGGCAAGAGGACTTCAAGGATACCTTCTAGTACATGGGGTCTGAATATCTTTCTTTTAATGATGTTGAATTGCTGCTGATGCTTAGTGTGTAGATGGCACCAATTTGTTTTTTTTTTTTAAGATATTCATGTTTTATAGTAACATCTTTTTTTTTTTTTTTTGACAGGCAGAGTTAGTGAGAGAGAGAGACAGAGACAAAGGTCTTCCTTCCATTGGTTCGCCACCCAAATGGCTGCTATGGCCAGCGCTGTGCTGATCCGATGGCAGGAGCCAGGTGCTTCCTCCTGGTCTCCCATGCGAGTGCAGGGCCCAAGCACTTGGGCCATCCTCCACTGCACTCCCGGGCCACAGCAGAGAGTTGGACTGGAAGAGGAGCAACCGGGATAGAACCGGCGCCCCAAGTGGGACTAGAACCCAGAGTACCGGCACCGCAGGCGGAGGATTAGCCTAGTGAGCCGCAGCGCCGGTCTGTAGTACCATCTTTAACACACAAACACACACACATATCTCCTTACTATCTCTTAAATTATGTAATCCTTTCATGTGTCCTAAGTTTTTCTTATTTTAAGTTAACATCTTTGCAGAAAAAAATCTTCTAATTAAAAAAAAATAAAGCAAAACCCCACATGCATAATTAAATGAAAATATAGCTTTGGGTTTCCATATCCTGGAAGTTGGGTATTTTCCTTAGCATGTAAACAAAGGTTAGCAGGCTTTAGAAGGAGTTCAATGCATTGAGTAGCATTTTTCTCTAAGCTTAACCAATTAAAGCAATTTAACAGAATCCTTAATGATTGTAAAAATTGTTTTGCTGTCAAATACAGTAGGACTTCTCACTTTCGTTCTTAAAGGGCACCTTGTTAAAGTGCTTCACAAAGGAGGTATTGACAGCATCAGCGTAGCAGAGGTTTCCAGGGTACTCATGGCTGAGAATCCAATGAACATTAACTGCAGGTTCAACTCAGGAGAGCATATTAAAAAGAAAATGTATCAAAAGCAAAAGCATTAGCAATGTAAACAAAATCGATGACTCCTGGTTCAGAAGACAACCATCACCTTTTACCAAGCTACACAGAGTAAAATTCACACCAGGAGAATGAATTTTAAGGACTTGAGTTTTTGAAATACCAAAAAAGTTCTTAGTGTTTTGTCTGTAGTTAGGTCCCATAGAATGGGGGAATGGAGTCACAATAAAACAACAAAATATATATTCAGAGCCTATGAAGTAAGGTGGTTTATATGGTAAATATATTCATAAAAAATTTTTAGCCCAAAAAATTGAAGGATGACCATCTAAGAATGGAACTTCCAGCGAAATGCTTAACTCATATGGAGGTAATCCAATGAGTAGATCTTGTCAACAGGCATCTCTCTTCCATTTTTACGTGTACTAAACACTGCCTAGGGCACTGGCATTTGGCACAGTGGTTAGGATGCCACTTGGAATGCCTACACCCCTTATCAGAGTGTCCGGGCTTGAGCCCAGCTCAGCTTCTGGTTCCGGTTTCTTGCTCATACAGACCTGGAGGCAGCAGGTGTTGGCTCAGGTAACTAGGCCCCTGCCACCCGTGCGGAAGACAGAATGATTTCCATGCTCCTGGCTTCTGTCTGGCCCAGCCCAACCTCATTATTGCAAGCAAGTGGGGAGTGAACCAGCAGATGGAAGACTTGTGTCTGTCTCTGTCTCTTTGCTGTTCTAATAAATAAAATAAATACATTCTAAAAAAAATAAAACCCTAAACTGTCATAAACAAAGCTTATGCAACAAATTTTCCCGATTATTCACCACTTGAAACAATAGTCTCCCCCTCTGCTGCAGCTTCAGTCTCTTTCCAACAACTTCCCTTTTCTTATGTCACCTTGGACTCAACATCCACAAGTAGAGTATCGAGAACTAAGCTCTCTGGCAGAATATGATACCAAATGCGACCCCTAGGAAGACTCAGTGTTTCCAGCTGTACGTGTCTCTGTTCCTCAGGGTCATTTTCACAGCTTTGAGATGGGTATCCATGCTGACAGCTGCATCTGTGACTGTCCCATGACCTGCATTTCATCCTTAAGTTCAGTGCTTAGAGTTTCATAACTCAATTTCATTAAAACATCCTAGCAGCCCTGTCTCCCCTTGTGTCTGATGAAGGCACAGAAATCAATAACTGATGACCAGTGACTGGGAATGCACATGTTCCGAAATGTCCATGAGCTCATCCCAGTCTGTCATGCCGTCTTCACTTGCTAGTGGGAATAGCATGGACAAAAGTTTCTCTGCATCCAGTGTTTGGTTAGCCACTGGTTCTGCATCCAGTGTTTGGTTAGCCACTGGTTCCATTCGTCTAAACAAAACACAGCAAATATGTGCTTCTTGTTGTTTACTAACCTGCTGTCAGAATAAGTTCCTTGTTAGCATCCTCTAAGAGTTGTGAATTCCTGTTCAAGAAAGACTTTCTAAAACTTTCCAGCGTTGGCACACAGAGGTCAAGCCGTAGAGCTCTCTCTGTTTTCCTGTTCCGAGCTCGGCATAGCAATGAGAAATCCTCTAATCCATGTGAGAAGCATGGCATATTCTAGAAGTCCTGTCTGCTCACAGGGTGATCATCTCCATGCCAGTGTTGTTCATCAGGAGAGGGACAGCAGAGAATTTTGCCAGACGTGGCCTCGGGAGTGCCTCACCCACAGGCCTCGATCACTGCAGACTGAGGGAAAAGCAAGCCCTGTTTTCTGAGTGACTCTGACAACTGCTCAGAGGCTGGTTCCAGGATTCTTGTTTTCTATACCAGGAATCTTTCCTACACTTTGTCAGAAATGATGGTGGTTCTCTCAGGAATTCTAGTTAAAGATCATTAGGGAAGCAAATCTGACTCTCACAGGCTGTCCGCAAATTAAAGTGAGTCATAATTCAAAGCATATTCCAAGTCAGACATTTTGGAACTCAGTGCACTTCCCTAAAGTGACTCAAAATTAACTGCAGGTTTAAACCCAGGCTGGTCTGATAAACGGCACTTAGTTATAATTTAGCACAAATACTCAACCCCATATATGAACACGCCCACAACTACTCCCTTATAGAAATTTGTCCTAGCCAGAAAACGTTCATCTCATACATTCTGTCATGGTTGGGGACTGTCCCTGCATTTCTCTGTTTCATTTCCACAGTATTCCTGAGAGGCAGGTGGTATTGGGCTCAGCCTACCAGGAGAAGTTTGAGGATCAGAAAATCAGAATAAAGGATTCAAGGAGACACAGTGAGAGGTAGAGTTTGGGTTGGAAACTAGGATGCTAACTGTGGGATCTTCTGCAACCCCTGAGGCCATCAGATGTCCATAAGGGAAGTGAGCACCACCCCCTGTCCACTGCCACAGCAAGAGAGGATTTCCCCCATTCTGGTCCCTGACCGTGATTCCTGTGAGCCACGGTAGGACTTGGTGTGGGAAGGAGAGAAGCTTGACTCAAACATGGCCCAGGAGCTGGTCCTGAGGGCACCAGATCTTGACTAAAGGGTCCCAAGCCTTGGAATCAGCATCATCAAAGAGAAGAGGGATTCTGGGCCCTCATTTTACAGGATGGTTAATTGTTCATAGGAAGGATCTCGTGGTAGGCGGCCTCCGTGATGGCCCCCAAAGTTCTGCCTCCTGATAGCCACACTGTGTGCAGTGCCTTCCCATGGGCTGTGGCCTGGTCAGAGCGCTACACCTCCAGCAAACACAGTGTCACAGGAATGGCTGTATGTCACTCCCCAAACAGAAGCCACATGGCTTCCACCTGGGATGTGTTTCCTTGCTCCAGGAAGCAGCCAGCTGTCTTGTCATGAGAGTAGCCATGTGGAGAAGTCAGCAAGGCCTGGTGCAGTGCAGTGGCCTCCGTCATAGCAGCCTGGGAGTCTCTAGGTTTCTTAGCTCCTGTGTGAGTGGACTTAGAAGAGAATCCCTCAGCCCAGGAAAGCCTCAGCCAGCCAGGTCCCTACCTGATGTATGGACAGAGCCACTCGCAGCTAGGCTACTCCTGTCTCCTGACCCTAGGAAGTAGAGATTGAATCCTGAGTGGTTGTTGTTTGAGTTGCTACGTTTTGGGGTAATTCATTGAACAGCAGAGGAGACTAACACCGTGTTGTTAGTAAATCAGAGGCAGCATGTCGCTCCCCCTCTTCGTGGAGGAATGACACTAGACCCTGCGCTGTTCTTTTATCTGCTCGGCCCTCTCCGGGTTTGCTGCTGGTCCTTCCCGGGTTTGCTGCCGATCCTTCCACCTCCGTGGAAGGGCGGCTCCCCCTGCCACTTTCCCCACTTCTGCGGGGGAGCGGCATACCGCCGGCCGGCTCTCTCAGGGGCTGCTCAGGTGTTCCTTCAGATAGATGTTCCTGGTGCATGTTGTCTCTCTCCTCCTTTATAGTCCTCTTCCACCAATCCCAACTCTGCTACCCACATGCCGAGTACGCTGCTCTCCTCCAATCAGGAGCAAGATCAGCTCCTGCAGCTCAGTCAATCAAATTGGCAAGAGGCAGCTGTGTAGAAGTTGTTTACTCCTCTCCCAGCGCCATATTGTGGGAGAGCAGATGCATAGAATAAGTCTTAATTCCAGTAACTTAGTCTAGTCTGAGTTGCTCCCCACAGCAGCATGGTCCTTGTTAGTGTACCGGGTGTGAGGATGTGGATGCTCTCATCTTATTTAAGCAGGCCACCTTCTTTTATCTTAAGATAGCAGAGTATTGTTCCCAGTTACAGTCTTACATCCTCAGAAAAATACCAGAATCAAAGAAACGTGTGTGGTTGTCAACTGGGAATGTTTATCAACATGTGAAGACTGGGGCTTGCTACGTTATTGTGGTGGGCAGCGGACAGGGGTGCTGTTAAACGCTTTGCAATGCACAGGGCAGCCGTCATGCCAGTCAGGCTCAGGGCATCAGTGGATGCAGAGAAACCCTCATCTGCAACCACTGAAACATGCTATTCAGAATGGGGTTGCACTCACATAATTGAAGCATTAAGATATCGCATAGAAGCCACAAAAGACAAATGTGTCTTTTAATGAAACGACAACCCTTAATGAAATAAAAGCAATTTTCTTTTCACTTACATAAACCCCATTTGTTTTATTGTGTAAAACAATAGGTAATATAGTGTTATACTTAAGAGCCTGATTGTTTTTGCTATCAGAAACACGTAGATTGTACATTGGTGCTTTGAAAAAGTAATTGTTTGACATTAAATTTGGAACATCATGGATTACAAAACCCAACACTGACTGATGAAAATAACATTCAGTACCCCAGTGTGTGGGTGACTCTAAATAAGTACATTGAGAACAGATATTTATAGAGAGTCCACAGATGAGACACATTTATTATAGGCGAGTGGCTGCCATCATCCCTTCCTAAATGATGGAGTGCCCTCCAGCAGTGAGGATGCAGGCAGTGCGTAATGAAGACAGAGACCCTGCACACTCCCTCACAACCCTTGCCCCAGTAAAGCAGCCCAGGCATGCAAACCCAGTCAGCAAGACTGCCAGGGAGGAGAACCATGTAAAATCCGTGGTGCAGGACTTACCTGATAAAAAGAGGCCTTGGGAACCTACACAAGTTGATGGCAAGTAGAAATCTACACAGTCGTCTATAACATCCCCACTAAGGATGTCAGTCACCGTGGTGATTGATGTAAGGAAAGCAGCTGCAGTGTAGTAGTGGAGGCCTTGGGCTGACAAATCAAAGGTCTCAACCCTTGAACAACCGGCTGGCAAAATTGGGCAAATCGCTTAAGCTCAAAGCTGCACGGGTTAAAAGGAAGAATTAAATAAGGTTAAACCAAAAATGTTAGAACACAAACAGAGGAAGGGATTGATATTGCTTAAGCTACTGCTATGAATAAAAGTCTGATAGGAGTGGCGTTGCCAGCCCTTCTGTAATATCCGTTTCCATTGGAACAAGCACTGTCCAGTGTGCTGCTCTCTGACGCTTGCAGCTTCTCGCTTCCATGTCTGTGCATGGTGATGTTAGGTGTGGGGTAGGTGGAGGCCATGCCACACATTACAGCGATGGAAGGTTGCTAAGGGACACTGGGCCTGTTCACTGATCCTAAATGTCCACGGCAGCTCCATGGACAGCCCTGCAAGCCTACACAAAAATCCACTTTCCTTTCTTCCACAATGTGACTTTTATAATATGGCATTTCCTGAATTCGCCGACCTGTGCCCATGCCATCCCGACATCTTGGGCATTGGTTATAGGACTTTCATCAGCTCTAGTCCAGCCACCTAACAGGTTCTGCTGGGCCCACCACCCTTCTGTCTGTCACTCCAGTGGTTTTCTGCTTCCTGCTGTGGAACGTGCTAAGATCAAGGAGCTTCCCTGATTTTGCCAAACAATGGTAATGCGTTTTCTTCAACAGAAAGTGTCTGACAGCTGGAGTCAAGTGTGAACCATCTTCACCTGATGGCTCTAGACTTCCTCCAGGGATAGAATGTGCTTAGCGGAGGAAGAGGAAGTCTTGGATGGGAATCTTGCCCTCGATGTTTTGCTTGGATGACTAGCTTTTTCGTCAGCAGCATATTCCTTTCACTTAAAAAGTTATTGCACAGGGACCAGCATTTTTGTGCATCCTAATTGTGTGTGCCACAGACCAGAACCATGTGTGTGGTATACTGAATAATGAACAAAACATGAGGGATTGGCTTTGCCATCGTCTTCCTCTTTGAAGCCCTATCAGATAAGTAGAAGCAGTAAATAAGCTCACAGAAGCACTAAAGATCTGTTCATCACGAATCATACCATTAATGAGGTTGTACAAAACAGCCTCTTGCCACAGACAACAAAGTACCTCCCTCTACAAAAGGAAGACGGCTGAAATAATTGTCTGGGTTGGGCATTTTTTTCTTAAAGATATGTTGAAAATTTCCAATAGTCTCTTAGTAGAGTTCTTTGGGTCTCCTAAATACAGAATCATGTCATCTGCAAAGAGGGATAGTTTGAGTTCTTCCTTCCCAATTTGTATCCCTTTAATTTCTTTTTCTTGCCTAATAGCTCTGGCTAGAACCTCCAGAACTATATTGAATAGCAGTGGTGAGAGTGGGCATCCCTGTCTGGTTCCAGATCTCAGTGGAAATGCTTCCAACTTTTCCCCATTCAATAGGATGTTGACTGTGGGTTTTTCATAGATTGCTTTGATTGTATTGAGGAATGTTCCTTCCAAACCCAGTTTGCTTAGAGTTTTCATCATGAACGGGTGTTGTATTTTATCAAATGCTTTCTCGGCATCTATTGAGATAATCATATGGTTTTTCTTCTGCAGTCTGTTAATGTGGTGTATCACATTGATTGTCTTGCACACATTAAACCATCCCTGCATACCAGGGATAAATCCCACTTGGTCTGGGTGGATGATCTTTCTGATGTGTTGTTGCATTCTATTGGCGAGAATTTTATTGAGGATTTTTGCATCTATGTTCATCAGGGATATTGGTCTGTAATTCTCTTTCAGTGCTGCATCTTTCTCTGGCTTAGGAATTAAGGTGATGCTGGCTTCATAGAAAGAATTTGGGAGGACTCCCTCTTCTTCGATTGTTCTGAATAGTTTGAGAAGAATTGGAGTTAGTTCTTCTTTAAATGTCTGGTAGAATTCAGCAGTGAATCCATCTGGTCCTGGGCTTTTCTTTGTTGGGAGGGCCTTTATTACTGTTTCAATTTCTGTCTCAGTTACGGGTCTGTTTAGGTTTTCGATGTCTTCCTGGTTCAATTTAGGCAGGTTGCATGTGTCCAGGAATCTATCCATTTCTGATAGGTTTCCCTGTTTGCTGGCATACAAGTCCTTGTAGTAGTTTCTGATGATTCTTTTTATTTCTGTGGTGTCTGTTGTTACATTTCCTTTTTCATCTCTTATTTTATTGATTTGGGTCTTTTCTCTTCTTTTTTTAGTTAGTTGTGCCAATGGGGTGTCAATTTTGTTTATTTTTTCAAAAAACCAGCTCTTCGTTTGGCTGATTTTTTGTAATGTTTTTCTTGATTCAATCCTGTTGATTTCTTCTCTGATTTTAATTATTTCTCTTCTCCTACTAGATTTGGGTCTGATTTGCTGTAGGTTTTCTAGATCCTTGAGGTGAATTGAAAGCTCATCTATTTGGTGTCTTTCCAATTTCTTGATGCAGGCACCTATTGATATAAACTTTCCTCTTAACACTGCTTTTGCTGCGTCCCATAAGTTTTGGTATGTTGTGCTGTTATCCTCATTTACTTCCAGAAAGTTTTTGATTTCTCTTTTGATTTCATCTATGACCCATTGTTCATTCAGGAGCATGTTGTTCAATCTCCATGTGTTTGCGTATGCTCTAGGGATTCCTGAGTTGCTAATTTCCAACTTCATTCCTTTATGGTCTGAGAAGCTGCATGGTATGATTCTAATTCTTTTGAATTTGCTGAGACTTGCTTTATGGCCTAGTATGTGGTCAATCCTAGAGAAGCTTCCATGTACTGCTGAGAAGAATGTAAAATCTTTAGCTTTAGGATTGAAAGTTCTGTATATATCTGTTAGATCCATTTGGGCTATAGTGTCATTTAAATCTACTGTATCCTTGTTGATCTTCTGACCGGATGATCTGTCTATTTCTGAGAGTGGAGTATTGAAGTCCCCCAGTACTACTGTATTGGGGTCTAAGTCTCCCTTTAAGTCCGTTAATAAATCTTTTAGATAAACTGGTGCCCTGTAGTTAGGTGCATATACATTGATAATTGTTATATCTTCCTGTTGAATTGATCCCTTAATCATGATATAGTGTTCCTCTTTGTCTCTCAACAGTTTTTGTGGTAAAGTTTATGTTGTCCGATATTAAGATGGCTACGCCCGCTCTTTTTTCATTTCTGTTGGCATGGTATATCTTTTTCCAGCCTTTCACTTTCAGTCTGTATGGATCTTTGTTGGAAAGATGTGTTTCTTGTAAGCAGCAAATAGATGGGTTTTGTTCCTTAACCCAATCAGCCAATCGGTGTCTTTTAACTGGACAGTTCAGGCCATTCACGTTCAAAGTGACTAATGATAAGTGGTAACTTTGCCCTGCCATTTGCCAAAGATAAGTTCTAATATATGCTTTGAATTCCCTGTGATCTTTTGCTGTGAGGTTTCCTTCCTTGGTTTCCTTCCTTTACCTTCTTTCATATTGATGACCGTGTTTCTGTGTTTCTGTGTGTAACACATCTTTAAGCATCTTTTGCAGGGCTGGACGAGTGGCAACAAATTCTTTCAATTTCTGTTTGCAATGAAAAGTCTTTATTTCACCTTCATTCACAAATGATAGCTTTGCAGGATATAATATTCTGGGCTGGCATCAGTCCTTTACGGTGAGTGTTAGCATTT